TGGCTTGGTGGGCCTGGCAGGGGAAGGATACTGCAAAATCTCCATTCCCACCCCATTCCTGGGGAAGGATACTGCAAAATCCCCACTCCTGGGGGAAGGATATTGCAAAATCTCCATTCCCATCCCACTCTGGGGCCAGCCAGAGGTGGTATTTGCCGGTTCTCTGAACTACTCAAAATTTCCGCTACCGGTTCTCCAGAACCTGTCAGAACCTGCTGAATTTCACCCCTGCCACACAAACACACTTCGCCGCTATCAAAGTGAATTCTAAGCACTGCGCAGCGCTGCAATGGAGAAACGAGCAACGGAGCATCCAGCGGAAGGGAAGGAGAAGATCCCTTTCCCTCTTTCTTTTCCTTGCTCCTCTTCCTTCCCTCGTGCTGGCTGCTCCGTTGTCTGTTTCTCCACTGCAATGCAGCACCCAGACCCACTTTGATAGCGGGGGGGGGGGGGAATAATTTAACAACTGGTTCGCCCAGGGTCAGGTTGGCCATCACAGGAGGCTCGTCCCATATGTGCGGCAGAGCTGGAGGACGGGGATGGGCTATGCCTCCCACGACAGCCAACCTGGCCCTGGGGGAATTGGTTGTTAAATTATTTAAATCCCACCACTGAGGAGAGCCTATACCATGGGTCTGCAACCTTAAACACTCAAAGAGCCATTTGGACCCATTTCCCACAGAAAAGAAAACACCAGGAGCCACAAAACCCTTCCCGTGCCTGACTATTACTTGAGCGGCCACAAAACTAGCATATGTAGTTGAATTAAATGTTCTGTTTTCTTCTGAAACTTTTCTTTTCTTGGATTTATCCGTGGTTGGCCTACTGGGGGTTGAAAAGCTCAATAAATCGTGTTCCGGCAGGTGTCACACATTGGCGGTTGGGATGCATATTTTGAGTGACAGGGAGCCGCAGCAGAGGGGTGAAAGAGCCACATGTGGCTCCAGAGCCGCAGGTTGCTGACCCCTGGCCTATACTATTCCAGACAAATGGTTGTCCAATCTCTTCCTAAAAAGAGATTGGACACTCCAAGTGATGGAGTGAAACCGCTCCACTGGTTAATTGGTCTCACTGTCAGAAAACGCCTCCTTATTTCTAGGTTGTTCTGCCCTTGATTAGTTTCTATCCATTGTTTAATGATTTAATCTGGATTTTTTTTTTTCAGGTACAGTCACTTTGCCATCACTAATCACCCATGAGCATTCTCATACTATACAGCTGCTTCTGTATTTTTTTTAAATTTTTTTTTTAGTTTCACTGCTTGGATAAACAAAGGCAAATTTTGTGGGTTGTTAGTCCTCTTCCCTTGTCAAACTGGAACTTTCCATAGTCAGATCTTGGCTTAGGCACTTGGAATTTTGCATGGTATATTCATAGAAGCCAGCTGCTTACTGAATCATCCTCTCAATATAATATTGTCAGGTTCTAGGGCCAGCTGGCTGGAGCAATGTGCAAATTAATTCATTAACATTTTCAGTCTTTAAGAGTACATAGCAATCCAGGTTCAAGGGAGGAGTGGGAGGAGGTTAGTGGATCTGGCTATTGAACTTCAATCACATGATCATGGGGATGCTGCAAAGGTCATAACTGTGAAAAACGCTCATAACTCACTTTTTTGAGGGCCATTGTAACTTTGAATTGTCATAAACGAATGGTTGTAAGCAGGGGTGGGTTCTACTTACCTTTACTACCGGTTTGCAATGGGGCCACGTGCGCATGCTTGCTTCACTCGCATGCCCACACACTCTTCTGCACGTGCGCAGAAGCATTCTTTTGACGTTGGGGTCAGTGGGCGGAGCCTCCCTCCGGTTTTACTACCGGTTCTATAGAACTGGGGCAACCCACCGCTAGTTGTAAGTTGTAGACTACATGTATGAAGGGAGAGGTGATGTGACAGACTGCGGTATTGCAGTAGGTTCCCCGGAAAGAGGAAGCACAAGAGACAACATAGTCCAGAGATGGATCATGGGAAGAGGAAGAGATTGAATATAGCTACTCCCTAGGTCAGGGATGTCAGATCCGGCCTGTGGAGTGCTTAGATCTGGCCCGCGGGGCTGCCCTGGAGACAGTGAAGGACTGGCCCGCGGTGCCTCTGCCAACAAAAATGGAGCTCGGGAGGGCCTCAGGAGGGTTGCAGGAGGCCGTTGCAGCGAAAAACAGAGCTCGGGAGCCTGTTTTCGCTGGCAGAGCGCTCGGGCCCCCGCAGGCGCCCCCAACACAAGTGATGTAGAGCTGGCCACGCCCACCTTGGCCACGCCCATCCCAGCCCCCTGAGGTCAAACACAACCCTGATGCAGCCTTCAGTGAAATCAAGTTTGACACCCCTGCCCTAGACTCTCAGGGTATTTCTGTTGGCATGGGGTAAAATGTAAAATCCACCTTGTCAATCCATCTCGCCTCTGACATAAACAATCCTCTTCACTTCAATCAAGCTAATTTCTCTTTCCCTTCATGATCTCTCCTTCTATGTTGCAAAAATGAGGACAGTTCTCTCTGCTTGATCTACAACATGGCTGATTTTGTGATGTGACTGGGTGGCAGTACCAGAGAGATAACGGATGTAATTCTGTTTAAACCAGGTGTGTCCAACCTTGGCCACTTTAACACGTGGACTTCAACTCCCAGAATTCCCCCAACAAGCCATCTTGGGTGGGGAATTCAGGGAGTTCAAGTCCACAAGTCTTAAAGTTGCCAAAGTTGGAGATCCATGGTTTAAAGTTTAAACCATGCCATTGAGTAAATATGTCTCCTGAATTGGACAGATAATTAAAACTATTAAAATGCAAATGCTTATAAGTGCAATACTTGCAGCCACTTACTTTGTCTTTAACACACACATATACACCAGAGCAAAATGCCTTTCCTGATACCCTGACATGGACTTGTCCCACTTAAAATAACAAAAAGAAAATCAGGCTTCATGATTCAGAGATAATGCATGCAATCTTCTGCAACCATATGCAGATTGGGTGAATCAGCTAAAACAGTCCACAGATTTACATTTTAAATTAAGTTGCTTAGTGTTTAAAATGTTATAGGGTGCTCAGTCAGAATAAATTTCCTTCATTATCTCTAAAGTGCTCATAGTGACATTCATAGCGTTGCCTATCTCCAGCCTGCGCTCAGATAATCTACTACTTCATCTGCAGATATTCCATATTGGTTATGGTAGCCCCAATTCAGAAAGCGTTTGAAACCCCCTAACAAATTTTATTAAAAACAATCAGCTTTCAGAAACTAGCTTGAGCTTAATGCTACCACATCCATTCGGCTTTCTGCATTTCCTACAGATCATATCATATCATATCATATCATATCATATCATATCATATCATATCAAGGGAGCTGAAGCACGCTTTTGTCCAATTTCCCTGCCTTTTCCCAGTCTCCTTAATAGCTTAGTTACCTGGGGTTGAACTCAGGAAGATTCTGAGGAGATTGTGGGGCCAGGGCCTCAGGAAAGACCCCCACTTCCCCTGAATAAGGTCCTGGAGGGGATCCATCTGGTGGCTCATGCTGAGTTCTGCTTGAGTTGGCAACTTGCTGCTTTCTTCTTTCACAAGAAGCAAAGTTTCCTCAAGACACCGCCAATCAATGTGATTCACTTGCTTTAGAAGAACTTAAACCAAACTGCCAAGAGGGAGACAATAATGGGCTCTGCTGGGAACAGATTGCCATAACTACCTCTGTTTGTGAACAAGTGAGAGTCCCAGAGTGCACAGTGAGACGCCATCAATTGATACTCACCTGGGAAAGCCTCTGCAGCCAAGATGGATCAGATATACTTATTCTGCATGACTGATGCAAGCTTGTGGATGTTTATACTGCAGGAGCGGCCGATAATGGCATGACTAGGACTTGACCCCTGGGCTTTGGCCCGGGACTCCACAAACAAGTGTGTGTGTGTGCCTTCGAGTTAGTGTTGTCTCTTGGCAACTACCTGGATTTGTTTCCTGCAACTTCCTTGGCAAGGTTTTTCAGAAATGGTTTGCCATTGCTTCCTTTCTAGGACTGAGAGAGACTGGCTGGCTTAAGGTCACCCAGCTAGCTTTGTGCTAAAACATGGCTAGAACTCACAATCGCCTATTTCTGACCAGTGTCATAACAACTATACCACACTGACTCTCCCATAAACAAGAGGGTCCTAAAATTCAGCCCCCCTATTTACAGCATATTTTAGGTTTCAGAAAAACAGCTCCCCCCCCCCCCAGTTAAGTAATTAGCTCTTCTCTTCTAACATAGGGTTTTCCTTTGGAAAGGGAGGGAAGATCAGGAATTAAACGGCCGAGAAAAATGGGTATTTATGGATGGCACAAAGTCTCCTGCCCAGATATTCTTAGCATTGCAGTGCCAAGGAGCTTCAACATGGATCCACTGCCAGAGAATTCATAACTGTATCCCTGTGGACTTAATCTTCATACTACTAAAATTCTCGTCACAGGCAAAACGTTGCATCATAGGGAAACAATTTTTGAATGAAGGTATCTCAAATGAGCTAATTTACAATAATTCCCCAAAATTACACACCCATAAACTCTGAGTGAATGAAATGTGGGAAAGGTGTGGCTGCTTCTGCTGTGGTCACATGATCTTTATTTTCAACATTCTGTGACAGTTTCCCAGCCAGTCTTGCAATCCCTCACTCTCCCCTCCACCCAGCAGCAGCTACTTACCTGCTTGAAGGAAAGGGAAAGGAAGATTTTCAATGCTCCGTCGGATTCCCACACGGAAACTCAGTAAGGAAACTGAGAGGAATTTGGAAGTCATTCCTGCTTCCACTCCTTTTTTTGCCCACCCTTAGTCATTCTATTTCCCTGTTTAGGTAAGGAAATATCTCTGAAACAATCACTCAATGGGGCACAGGTTATCTGGTCATTTGCTAAAAAATTGATTTCCTTCATAAACTAACTGGTTGCTCACCTGAAATTGGTGGAAGAGCTAGTAAAAATCATTGAGGTTAGGAAGTGACATCACATCCTTAATAAATGAATTAATCACCATTGTTTTTGAAAGTTTTTATTGTATTTCATAAAGAATTACAGTACAGCATTGGGCTCTATTTTTTATAGGTGGAGTGGATAAGGCTTATTTTTTTCACTTTTCCCCATCTGTAAAGAATGGAAGGAATGGCCTTGAGGAAGAACCGCTACCAAGTAAGAAGAGATCCGATAACGATTTGTCTGAAATGATATAAGGTTTCCTCCCTAAGCAGGGAGGGTTGGACTAAAAGACCTTGTCCAACTCTGCCATTCTGTTATTCTGTTAATGGTCAGGTAAGTGGGGTTTGAGCCTAGACCAAGAAAATAACTTGAGAAAATGTCTCAGGGAAACCCCTCTCTAGTAAAATTAAAATGAGGGAAGAGGAAGCAAATTTAGACTTGCAAGATTCTATTATTACAGGTAATCCTCAATTTATGACTGTAAGAGAGCCTGGAATTTCTGTTACAACTCAGCACGATTGTAAGTCAAGGCATTCGTGTGACTGGATCTGACTTTACGGCTTTTTTTTTTGTAGTGGTCATTAAGTGAATGCGCAGTTGTTAAGTGAATCAATGTATTCCTAAAGGCATTTTTGCTGGAAACTGGCCCCAAAAGCCAGAAATCAGTAAAAACAGTTTTAAATCATGGTCACATGACTGTGGAATGCTGCAGCTGCCCATAAAGGTCAGCTAATTAACAAGCACCCAAAATGTGGTCATGTGACTGTTCAGCCCTCAGACATCTGGATCCAGGACATAAGTAGCTTTTGAGGCGTCTGTTGTAACTTTGAATGGTTCCTTTACAATAGGACATAAGATGTGACTATCTGTATATCCTTGCAATAAGAATAGTCTTGACTATATGGCATTGGTTTCTTAATTTGGTCCCCCTAGAATGGCTGACCCTCAACCCCGTTTCACAGTATTTTCCTCATAATCTGTGTTTGTTGGATGTTGGAAGACAATGTGTGTCCATCTGCCTACCAGGAGAGCACCTGGAATATGGTTCCCTTCGGAGTCAGTCACTCTGATTGAACCTCCATGACCAGGCTGCTTGTTTCTTCAATCCATATAAACCATGATATAAAAATGAGAAATATTTTAAACCCAGACTGGGATGACAAAAAAGGCATTTTCCTGCAATGGATGCATGAAAATTGCATATTTATAGCAGACTTTTCCAACCAGGTGGCCTTCTGGTTTATTGGGACTGTAACAGTGGTGGGTTGATCCTGGTTCGGCCCGGTTCGACTGAACCGGTAGCGGTGATGATGTGACATTACCGAACCGGTTCTCTGTGACTGGGAGCTGGGCCCTCCCGCCCACCCGTGCTTTATTCCTACCTTTATTTTTTGGTTTTTAGCCCAGCTGATAGGCGCAGCAGAGTGGATTGCCATACCTCAGCTGGCCAGAAACCTAACGCGCTTGCGAGCGAAGTGAGCATGTGAGTGGCGATCGTGCGCAGAGCACATGCACAAAGAGAACTGATAGTAACACCGGTTGGAATCCACCACTGGATTTCTGAGGTAACATGGGAATCCTGGCCGTTTTCAGTATCCAGTTTCATGCATCCAAAGGCTATTAGGTTCAGGAAAGCTGATTCATAGCCAATTTCCATCCCGTGCTGCCTCATTTCTCACTTCTCAGGGTAACTCTGCCTCCTCCTCCTCTTGGTGCTTCTGCGCTTCTGGATGATGAAATCAATCTGGTAAATGAGCATCACTGCCAGAAGAAAGACAACAACCTGGAAGGAAACAGATAAAGTTCAGCAATATAACCCAATAAGGCAGCGGTGGGTTTCACATATTCTTACCACTGGTTCACCACGAATGCGTGTGCACCTTCAGCACATGCGCCCGACAGTAGTGAAATCCAATTTTTTTTACTACCGGTTCTGTGGGTGTGGCTTGGTGGGCATGGTGTGGCTTGGTGGGCATGGCAGAGGAAGGATACTGCAAAATCCCCATTCCCTCTCCACTCTAGGGGAAAGATACTGCAAAATCTCCATTCCCACCCCACTCTGGGACCAGCCAGAGGTGGTATTTGCCGGTTCACCAAACTACTCAAAATTTCCACTACTGGTTCTCCAGAACCTGTCAGAACCTGCTGGATTTCACCCCTGGTGCCCAGCCTTCTGTGCGTGTGCTTTGCTCTCACGCAGGCCTTCTGCACATGCACCCGGCCTTGAAAAAACTGGTCTGAACCGGCTGAATACCACCCCTGCAATAAGGGGATGTCAAGACTTTAATATTGCATAGAAGTGGCACGTGTGGGGATTCCTCTACTTTTGTGCATAGGCTTTCATAGGAGAAGGCTGAGGAAGACAAGTGGTATAGGCACTTAGATCTGACACTGGGACACAAGTGCAAAAGGGAGGGAGATGAGCTTGTGAGGTCACCATGCACATGTCATCCAGAGGTGGGTTTCAGCAGGTTCTGACCAGTTCTGGAGAACCTGTAGCGGAAATTTTGAGTAGTTCAGAGAACCGGTAGTAAAAATTCTGTCTGGCCCCGCCCCCATCTATTCTCTGCCTCCCAAGTCCCACCTGATCGGGAGGAAATGGGGATTTTGCAATAACCTTCCCCTGGAGTGGGGTGGGAATGGAGATTTTACAGTATCCTTCCCCTGCCATGCCCACCAAGCCACGCCCACCAAGCCACACTCACAGAACCGGTAGTAAAAAATTTTCAAACCCACCACTGATGTCATCACAGTAACTTTGGACATGGAATAACAGATTTCGGCAATGGTTTGCTCTCCGAACTTGTTTCAATTTAGTTTCTGAACATTTCGTTATCAGACTAAGTAACATCAACAGCAGGATTTTCTTGTCCTATTCCTATTTAGCTTATTAATGTCTTGTGTGCCAGTATGGTCAGTTGGTCGTGTGATTGGTTGTTCATTTGGAGCTAGATTTAAATTCTGAGCAGCTGATTGGTTCTCTTAGCTGCTGGTCATTCAAATGGTCTTGTTTCTTACGTATTCATATGCTGGATGTAGATCAATATGCTTGTTGATTGCTCCTTTGGTAGAATACCAGGCTTCAATAAATTCACGTGTGTGGCAGGAGTTGGCACAGCCAATTATTTTTGTTCCTTTCCTATTGAACTGGTGGTGTTTATTATCAATGTGGTTCAAGATCAGAGATTTTTGAATAACAGAATTGGAAGGGACCTTGAAGGTCTTCTAGTCCAACCCCGTGCTCAGGCAGGAAGCCTGGCCTATACCATTTCAGACAAATGGCTCTCCAATCTCTTCTTAAAAAACTTCAGTGTTGGAGCACTCACAACTTCCGGAGGCAAGTCATTCCACTGATTAATTGTTCTCACGGTCAGGAAATTTCTCCTTCATTCTAGGTTGCTCTAATTTTGTGCATAGGCTTGCACAGGGAGAAGGCTGAGGAAGACAAGTGGTATAGGCCAGGGGTGAAATCTAAAATTTGTTATTACCGGTTCTGTGGACGTGGCTTGGTGAGGGGGGTAATGTGACTGGGTAGGCGTGGCCAACGTTTTTATTTTTTTTACTTTTAAAAGGATTTTTTCTACAACCTCTTTGGCCAAAGAGGTTGCAGGAAAAAAAATGCTTTTAGAAGCCTCTGACGATCAGGCAACTCAGTTGGGATCGTCAGAGGCTTTTAAAGGCATTTTTTTTTCTACAACCTCTTCGGTTGAAGAGGTTGTAGAAAAAATGCTTTTAAAAGCCTCTGATGATCCCAGCTGAGCTGCGCAATCATCAGAGGCTTTTTTTTTTTTTTTTACTTTGAAAAGCACTTTTTCGGCCGAAGAGGTTGTAGAAAAAATGCTTTTAAAAGTTAAAAAAACAGCCTCTGATGATCGTGGGGCTCAGCTGGGCATGGGGGAGGCGCAGGGATTTTTGCTACTGGTTCTCCGAACCACCTGCCGCCATCGCTACCGGATCGGGTGATCTGGTCCGAACCGGGAGCATTTCACCCCTGGTATAGGCACTCCTTGATTAATTTCCATCCATTGAGTTTAGGGGTTCTTCTGAGCTGATTAAATTCTCCAAGTCCTCCTATTCTTATTCCAGGCTGGTCTTATCTCCTCCAGCCCTGATGCCTTACCTCCAAGACCAGCAATCCAAATGCCAGCCCAGCCATCAGCAAGAGATTGCTCCGTCCCCAATGGACAATCTTCTCTAGGCAGCCCTCTGTGTACACCACGTTCTCTGCTTGCCACCCTTTAAGACTCTGTGTCCCATAGCCACACATGGTGTTTAGCATAACCTAGAATAAGTTGAGAATATGAACAGAAGTTAAGTGCAGGATCAAGCAAATGAGGGCCCATAGTCTCTAAATGTGATTGACCATTGTCAAGATGTCAAAAAAGCATATATGAGATATTGGCTTTTTTTTTGTTTGCTCTTCAGCATCCAATACTGAAAAGTAAATTACTGTACCTCCTTAAATGGGGGGGAAAAATCAGGAGTCTGGTAACGTTTTTATGAGTAACACATGGTATTAAAAAGCATAAAGAGCTCCAGATCATCTTCCACTGCGGTGACTATCTTTATTTGTGGCACTTTATAGATATAGAATAAGAAAGCAGTTCTGAATTTGCCCTAGTTCTGGCTCCAGAACCTTTGAATAAACTGCAGGTAGTTCTTGACTTATGACCATAACTGGGACTAGATTTTCTCTGGTTAAGCCAGGCAGTTGTTAAGCGACTCGTGCCCAATTTTATGACCTTTTTGTCATGTCAAGCAAATCACCGCAGTTGAATCAGGCAATCGTTAAGTAAATCCAACTTTCCCAATAAACTTTGCTTGCCAGAAGCTGGCTGGGAAGGTGACCCAAAAACATACTGGTTGCCAAGCATCTGAATTTTGTTTGTGTGATCATGGGAATGCTGCAACAGTTGTGTGAATAGCAATAGCAATAGCACTTAGTCTTATATACTGCTTTACAGTGCTTTACAGCCCTCTCTAAGCGGTTTACAGAGTTAGCATATCACCCCCAACAATCTGGGTCCTCATTTTACCCACTTCGGACGCCTGGAAGGCTGAGTCAACCTTGAGCCTGGTGAGATTCGATCTGCCAAACTGCTGGCAGCTGGTGATCAGCAGAAGTAGCCTGCAGTACTGCACTCTAACCACTGCATCACCGCGGCTCAGAATACCAGTTGTAAGTCGCTGTTTTCATTGCTATTGTCACTTTGAACAATCACTAAGTGAATGGTTATAAGTCGAGGACTACCTGTACCAGAAAAGGTGTGCATGTGGAGGGGGTACCACCAGTGGTGGGTTGCCCCCGGTTCGGACCGGTTCATAAGAACTGGTAGTAAAACCGGCAGGAGGCTCCACTCACTGACCTGGACGTCATCATAGGCTATGTGTGCATGCGCAGAAGAGCGCCTGTGCGGGCACGATGCGAACCGGTAGTAAAGGTAAGTAGAACCCACCCCTGGGTGCCACCATAGGCTAACACTCCTACAATCTCTTCATATGGTGCTCCATCAAGCCATTCAAGCAGCTAGCTATGAAGAACAGAACAGCAGTCTTGCTTCATAATATTAGGACAGAGTAAGGACAACTTAACCCTGTTTATCTTCCCCCAAATTTTAGAAAACTTTAGATTAAAATTATCCATATAAATTTGCATCAGGAGCATCGGGAGCCCTGGTGGCGCAGTGGTATTTCTGCGGGCTGCTGACTGCCTGCAATTTGGCAGTTCGAATCTCACCAGGCTCAAGGTTGATTCAGCCTTCCATCCTTCCGAGGTCGATAAAATGAGGACCCAGATTGTTCGGGGCAATAGGCTGACTCTGTAAACTGCTTAGAGAGGGCTGTAAAGCCCTGTGAAGCGGTATATAAGTCTAAGTGATATTGCTATCAGTGGCAAAAGCTAGGAGTAAGTTTTAATCAAGCTGCTAGAGCTCTGAGAGAGTAGAATAACATTTCTGTTCACCTGTAATGCTTCCTCAAACTGTAGATTTGTGAATAAAAGCTAATTATTGTAGTGGTGCTTTGTAAAATTGGAGAGCACTCTCTTTTCAAAATAAACAACAAAAGGTCTACATTAATTTTGCAAATCTTTGTTTGAAGTTAATTCTTGTAATCTGCCATGACTTTTCATAGGTTGGCGTTCTAGACTCCAATTTGTTAAAATGTTTACTTTTTAATAAACTGTCTCAGGATACCACCTTGGCTTCTGGATAGCAGCATGTACATTTATAGAAATAAATGGCCTAATAAATACTATGAATTTTATACTGTATCCCCAGTCTTATTGTCATAGTGACTTAAAGTACTGTACATCCTCCCACTTACCTCAGAACTGAACATGTTTGAATTTAGCTTTCCACTTTCCCTTTTCTCTTACCTCTTTATCTTGCAGACAGCAAGAGAAGGGCACTGCACAACGCTCCAGGCTGGGATTGGAGTCTCGACAGTCAAAATAAATATTCTGGGACCAGTCCTTGTATGAGTGAACCCCACAGCACTTGAACTGGGAAGGAGAGGGAAACAAAACCAAATGCCAAGGAAACTAATTGGATGCATGAAATCACAGCGAAATGTCCCACAAGGACAGCCTGTTTCAGCAGCATATGGGTGAAGGTGAATAGAGGAATAATAATAATAATAATAATAATAATAATAATAATAATAATAATAATGGCAGCAACCCGTATCAATCATCAGTGCCAATCGATATTTGTGATGCAATGTTCAGTTGACTGAGTTTCATGTTTAATGAATAAAAGAGATAATGATAATAATAATTTTAAGAAGACACTTGGTTGATAGCTAGGATGCTGACAGCAACCTATATCAACCATCAGCGCCAGTCAATGATATTTGTGATACATTTTTAAATGTCCAGTTGACTGAGTTTCATGTTTAATGAATCATCTTCATCATCATCATCCAGATTTGCCTATCCCAAGTCCTTGGCGAGAACTCAATAGACAATAGACAAAAATGCCAAACCCAGACTGAACATTTGGCTGACTGTGTGATGAGTGATGATGATGATGATGATGATAATAATAATAATAGAAATAATAATAATAATAATAATATAAAAAATCTGGATGCTGGACATGGCAGTAGCTGCAGAATAGAAGAGAAAGAACTGGAGAAGATAACAAAATACAAAGGCTTGCAAAAACAGAGGTAGAACAACTGATGAAAGGAAACAAAGGTAATACCAAGAGTAATAGGCACCTTGGGTGCAATCCCAAAACATCTGGAGCACTACTTGAACACCATCAGCATTGACAAAATCACCATCAGACAATTGCAAAGGATTTTTTTGGGGGGGGAACAGCTTAGCGTGAATATTGTCCCAAAGGTACTTTTTCAAGAGGCAACTGGACTTTGCCTCTTTATGGAAGAATGATGGGACAATCATGACCTGGATGACTGAGAATCTCCATAGACATTCAATGTTAATTTTATTAAACAACAACATCTGCCTATCCCGGTCCTTGGGAAGGACTCGATAGGTAGACCAAAATGCCAAATCCAGTCTAAACATCTGGCTGACTGTATGACTATCCATAATATTAATAATCTTGCTCTGCCTTCTGTCTACAGAGTATCTGCTCTAGGGAGACTAAAAAACACACCTCAATTTATCTTAGAGAACACTTCTTCTCAGTTATATGCATATTTAGCATGCATGTTTAATACCATAGTAGTGTAGCTCTTCCATAAAAAGCTGGAAGCAGAATTAAAGTAGTATTCCACATGGCAATTTGATACAGTACTCTGTTATCTGGAAATGCCCACCACCATAGATAATATCCTACAATAAATTTGATTCACAAATATTCCATTCCAAAATGATCGCCTACAAAATGAATTAATAACTTCTTGTTGTTGGTTCTGCTCTTTTATGGTGCCCTTTTTACAGGGGTGAAATCCAGCAGGTTCTGACAGGTTCTGGAGAAGCGATAGCAGAAATTTTGAGCAGTTCGGAGAACTGGTAGCTGACATTTTGAGTAGTTCAGAGAACCGGCAAATACCACTTCTGGGTGGTGCCAGAGTGGGATGGGAATAGAGATTTTGCAATATCCTTCCCCCAGGAGTGGGAAGGGAATGGAGATTTTGCAGTATCCTTCCCTGGGAGTGGGGTAGGAATGGAGATTTTGCAGTATCCTTCCTCTGCCATGCCCACCAAGCCACACTTCCAGAACTGGTAGTAAAAAAAATTGGATATCACCACTGCCTTTTCAGCATGTCCTTGAAGGGCCTCTTAATTGCACTTTAAAGAAATGCTAATACTTTTGTGCTCAAAATGAATCAATAAAAGGATTGGGTGTGGTCAGTAGCAGGGATTTAAATTTTAAATGCTCTTTGTGTTAAGCCATACTGAACAGGCAGGGGCTGCAATTTAACTTTACATTTAAAGAAATCACAAATTTGGACTAGAACAAAAGAGTAACACAGAAAACACAAGGCAATGTCTAGCAACAATATCTGGATCTTTTTGAAAACAATTCCAAATTAGTAGAAATAGTCCTCGACTTACAACCATTTGTTTAGTAACTGTTTGAAGTGACAGTGGCACTGAAAAAAGTGACTTATGACCATCACAGCGTTCCCATGATTACATGATCAAAATTTGGGTACTTGGCAATTGAGATCTATTTACAACGGTTGCATCATCCCAAGGTCACTTGATTGCCATTTGTGACCTTCCCAGATGGCAAAGTCAATAGGAGAAGCCAAACTTTCATTTAGCAATTGTGTGACTCACTTAACGATTGCTGTGATTTGCTTAAATTTGCAAAAAAGGTTGTAAACTCACTTAAGAGCCACCTTGTTTAGCAATGGAAATTCTGGTCATAAGTTGAGGACAGTGGTGAAATCCAATTTTTTTTTACTACCAGTTCTGTGGGCATGGCTTGGTGGGCGTGGTGTGGCTTGGTGGGCATGGCTTGGTGGACATGACAGGGGAAGGATACTACAAAATCCCCATTTACTCCCCACCTCTGGGAAGGATACTGCAAAATCTCCATTCCTACCCCACTCTGAGGCCAGGCAGAGGTGATATTTGCTGGTTCTCCAAACTACTCCAAATTTCTGCTACCGGTTCTCCAGAATCTGTCAGAACCTGCTGGATTTCACCCCTGGTCGAGGACTATCTATAGGCCAGTTTTGGAGACGAGATAATTGTTGTTGCTCTATGAAATGTGAAAGAACATCGGTGCTTCTATAAAGAGCCTGCAAAAAGCTCTAGAAGCCAAAGTACTAAGGCTCTGGAACCAGAACTTCTACATAATGTTGGAAACCAGGGCAAATTCAGAACCTGTTACCTTCTTCTGGATGTAGTCAATAAGGTTCTGCAAATCAAGGTTGTCACGATAGCGGGAGATGGCCTGGCCCATCAAAAATGTGGCTTTTTCCATCACCTGGGGGACAAAAATTGAGCAATTTGGCAGTTTGAATCTCACCAGGCTCAAGGTTGGTTCAGCCTTCCATCCTTCTGAGATAGGTAAAATGAGGACCCAGATTGTTGGGGGCAATATGCTGACTCGGTAAACCGTTCAGAGTGGGCTGTAAAGCACTATGAAGCGGTATATAAGTCTAAGGGCTATTGCTATCACAGGAAGTGCTCAGACAAACTTTGGGCCAATGAGGAAAACCCTTCTATGGCCCACTTGAAAACCAAGAAAGACCTGACCTGGAGGATTGTCCCTGGAATTTCTTGCCCACCTTGACTATAGCTGATGAACTTGGTGAGTCAAGTTAGTTTTTTTTTTTTTTACCATGCCAGAGAAGATGAAGCCTAAAACTGCAGCCACAACTTGCAGAATGAAAATGATGAGCAAGATCCAGGCAAACTAGAAAGAAAAAAAAAGAAAGAAAGAAAGAAAAGTCAGGAGCTGCAGAATGTACATTTACATACCGATGAAAAACACCCATCTGTCTCATCTCAATGTGGATTTGCATACAGAATATGCTTCATCATAGACAAACAAGCGCACACCTGTTCCCTAGACTCTGAATCAAAACTGATGGAAGATTGAGCCATGTATCCCTCTTTCAGTATGTGCCAATCCCTTGAGGAACTTCTTGTAGGAAAACCTCCTTCGAGATCATTTATTTATTTATTGTTTATTTATAGGTTCGATTTATATGCCGCCCTTCTCCGGAGACTCAGGGCAGCTTACAATGCGTTAAGCTAATAGCCTTCATACTTTTGTATATACCTGCTTAGTAGGGCTTTTGGCCCCCCCTAAGTGGTGTCCTTTTTTATACAAAATCAGCTTATTGCCCCCCACAATCCGGGTCCTCATTTTACCTACCTCGGAAGGATGGAAGGCTGAGTCAACCTTGAGCCTGGTGAGATTTGAACTCGCAGTAATTGCAGGCAGCTGGCAGCTAAGTGCTACTTAACAGCACTTTAGTCCACTGCACCACCAAGGCTCCATCATGTCCGTCTAATTTAGCATCCTTTGTCTGTTCATAACTGGGCCAGCCAGGTACACCAAAAGGATGCTCACAAGCACGAAATGAAAGCAGTATCTGCTATGAGAGGATCTATCAGAGGGATGGAGAAGAATTCCTTGTTGCCCACCAAGGTTGGCTGATGGAGGGGAAAAGGGAGATCGCTTTGAACGTACCACTTTCAACAACAGTGTGAGGTCCCGTAAGGCTCCCAAGCAGCCCACAAAGGTGATGCAGAAAATCAGGGTGCCCACTGCTAAAAGAATTATGGAGGGATCAGCCAACAAGGAGTCCACAGCACCTGGAAAAAAATGGGGACACTACTTAAAAAGTTCCACAAATGACCTCAGTAGTAGGACAACATCACCCAAGCAAAGGATCTGAAGCATTGGAGAGTGGGGCTTCAGGGAAGAATTTGAGCATGACAATTTATTTATTACATAAATAAATATTAATTAATTAATAAGCAGATGTTCAAGGCTGCAAATATGACTTTGTTGATGGTTTGGTTCTTAGGCTAATCTCCTTTTCCTTCTCAGCCCATTTTGAAACCTAGACTCCCATCTTGGTTTGCTGTGAGAACTCTTCATCCTCCTCTCTCATTATATACTGAGACCCAGTTTGGGTTCGTGGTTAAGGCACCAGGCCAGAGATCAGGGGACTGGGAGTTTTAGTCCCCCATCCCAGTTAAGGAGATTGAGGATTGGTTTTCTCACCGACAAATGAAACTTGGTAGTTTAGTTTAGTTTAGTTTATTTGATTTGTACATGAAGAAGCAAAGCCAGAAGATATCATTTATTGCTTTTCCTAACTTATGTGAGTTCTTAGAAACAATCCAGGTAAGAATCGCCAAGCAGGAGCCCTAACTACCTTTTGTAAGGTTACAGTAAAGAATCTTTACTGTACTTCTCTCTACCCCAACCTCCCTGGCTATCACAGTCCAAGAAACTAAGGAGGGCCTCTTCTGAGACATTTGTCATGCCCCCATTCCTTCTGTGGGGTAAGCTGCCTCTTATCTGACCGTTACCTAGATTGCTCTCCTTTTCTTGTCTTTGAAGGAGTGGCGGGCTGCTGCCAGTTCAGGCGAACCGGTAGTTCCGACAATCAGCTGCCCCCACCCCTGCCCTATGCTGTCCTATATATTTCCTTCTTTCTGGCTCAGCTGATTCGCATGGGACAGCTGATTTCCATGTTTCCGCTGTTCTACTTACCGAGGCTGCCTTAGAAGGAGGCAGCTGAGCTTCAAATTGCTGTATTTTGAGTGCTGTGCGCAAGTGCGTTAGGCACGCTCACGTTCACAGAACCGGTTGTTAAACCGGTTGCAGCCCACCACTGCTTTGAAGGACATTCTCACAGACCATCCCATCTGTTCCTCATAAACCTGTAAGGTCAGCACCATTTGCCAGCCCCATTCTTGAGACCAAATAGAGTTGGACTGTTGGGACAATGCAAGTTATACCAGCTGTTGCCTCAAGGGCTGGAGAATAGCATGTTAACGTGGCCATGAGAACAAGATTTCTCATCTTCCTCCTAATGCGGACTGCATCCCAGCAAATTCTGTAAAGGATCTGGCCGCTCACCTGCTTCCTTGGAGAGCCTGGCATAAATTCCAACAGCCACCATGAGTCCACCAGCTACCTTTGAAGGAAAGAAAAACAAAGGCACATCCAATTTCTTATTGGTCTGAACACTGTTTTGCTAAAGAAGAAGAGTCTGGCTGACCCAGCATTCCCAGAGTTTAAGATACAAGACAGGTTATTATAGGGCCTTTGTGATGCCATCTCTGGTAGGCAGCCTTCCTGGGAACCAGTAGCTTTCCTTGGCAAAGCAAATGCAAATTCCAGCACTGCCAAATATTCGCCCTTTTGACTCACCCAGAAGAGGTAGCAGGAGGTAAAGAGAGTGTATTTCATAATCTGGTTGGTACGCATGGTTCACCACTGCCTGTTTGCCTCTGCCCTGCCCTGCAGATTCGTGCACCCGCTTCTCAGCTTGCAAGGATTTGGGGAGGGGGCTTCAAGAGGGAAGCCATACGGGCTCTGACTAGTGACTTTAATGTCCCTTCCTGGATAGGAGTCCTGAAATGGGAAAAGATCCGGGCAGGAGACATCGGGGTGTGGTGAGGATATGAGGAAGGGAGAAGGGATGGCTGGCTGCCTGTCTGCTCAGACTACGTCAGAGACAAGTCTTGGCTTGATCCTGGCTTGGCACTCTGGAAAGTTTTTAGGTCTCTGTTTTGGGGCCAAGCATTGAGAGAAAGAGGCAGCCACAACTGAAGAAGGAAAAGGGGAGCTTAGTTGGATCATTTGGCTTATTTGGCAGAGAGGGAATAAATGTGGATTGCCTAAGATCCTTTTTGGTCCGTATTTATTTGTTGTCATGTAAAGTCAAGTCCAGAGATGCGGTGGCTCAGTGGCTAAGATGCTGAGCTTGTCGATCAAAAGTTCGGCAGTTCAGCAGTTCGAATCCCTAGTGCAGCATAATGGGGTGAGCTCCCATTACTTGTCCCAGCTTCTGCCAACCTAGCAGTTCGAAAGCACATAAAAAATGCAAGTAGAAAAAAAGGGACCACCTTTGGTGGGAAGGTAACAGCGTTCCGTGCGCCTTTGGCGTTTTGTCATGCCGGCCACATGACCACAGAGATGTCTTTGGACAGTACTGGCTCTTCGGCTTTGAAACAGAGATGAGCACCGCCCCCTAGAGTCAGGAACAACTAGCACATAAGTGTTAGGGGAACCTTTACCTTTACTTAAAGCCAAGTCCACAGTTTTGTGCAGACACAACTTTCTGAAGAAATTAATCTGCTTTTTTTAATAGGACTTCATGACTGGAGGGGTGGAGTTACATCCCTCTGTTGACAGGAGGTTTTCCTGTCTTGCTCTGAAATTTGTGGTATTTTGAATAACTCTTAGGCACCTAAACCAGGAGTTAAGCTACGAAAACATGGCTGAGAGGATCCTTGACTCCCCCAGGTGATATTTCATCATGTAGTACCCAAAAAAGGATTTTGTTTTTTTTTTTAAGGCTGGCTGCCAGATTACTTATACAACCATTTCCCTCCCCATCTCCTGGCTTCCTTTCTGGCAAATGAATTCAAAGAAATTTTTTTGGGGAAAACCCTAATTATTGGATTAGTGTTGTTTGGATTATGCAACCAAAGCTATTTGCTGTTTTGGATCACAACTATGTTTATTTTGATGATCATATTAACAGCTTCTAAGCTGTAATGATGTGGTGGGAAGAGAAGTTTTAAAAAAAGGTAGAGGACAACAAACAACAACAAACAACCGATGGTGGGACTAACTTCTTCAATTTGTTGATATATGTGGAAATCTTAGAAATGATACTTTTTGTCCTGACACAATTTATGGTCAATTTCCTCTGTTTCTTTACAAAATATGCATTTGCTGAGGTTTGTCTGCTAATTAGTGGTATTATCAATATATTACCAAACTATCATTTCTGTAACCTTTTAACTGGGCAAAATGGGGCATCATAGGACAACAGTTTTTGAAGCAAGGTACCTCAAATGGGATAACTTACAGAATGCACCCAAAATCTGGGACCCATGATTTCAGAGGGAATGAAATTTGGGGAAGTTGTGCCTTCGGTTCTGCTGGACTACTGCTGTAGTCATGTGACACTCATTTTGAATGTTTTGTGACAGCTTCCCAGTCACTTGCAATCCCACCCACCCGCAACCATTTACCTGCCTATTGAGAAGGGAAGGGATGGAAGATAATGGTAAGAATGACAGGGAGGAAGGGAAAGAAGGAAAGATTTCTGAATTCCCTGCCAGCTTCCCACAAGGAAACTCAATGGTGAAGCCTGCAGGAAGTCAAAGGTTGCTCCCACTGCTTTTTTACCCACCTGTGGTCATTCTTTTTCTCTATTTAGGTAACAAAATACCTTTGAAATGATGACTCCACAGGGTATGTATGGGTTGTCTAGTTATTATTTGGACCTATGAAAATTCCACTAGAGATAATTCAAACTCTGGAGATTTGCAGCAAGCAAGCACGAGAGGGCACTCTTGGATTGTTGGAAGGGTATCCGGAAGGGTAGACAGACGTTTTTCACTAGTTGCTTTTGTCATTCATAAAGGTTATTGCAATGGGTGGGACCCAGCACAGTATTCGGGGGGGGGGGGGGGCTTTTCTGCTTGATTACAGCAATCTGAATCCCCTTGGCAGATGCAGAGTTAAACATTAGTTTTCTTGCAAGGGAAGAATGTTGGTGCATGTTTAGCACCTGAAGGCAGGACAAGAAGCAATGGATGGCAACTAATCAAGGAGAGAAGCAACCTAGATCTAAGGAGAAATTTCTTGACAGAACAAATCATCAGTGGAATGATTTGCCTCCAGAAGTTGTGGGTGCTCCAACACTGGAGGTTTTTAAGAAGAGATTGGACAACCATTTGTCTGAAATGGTATACGATTTCCTGCCTGAGCAGAGGGTTGGATTAGATGACCTTCAAGTCCCTTCCAACTCTGTTATTCTGTTAAAGTCTGTTAAAGGTATTTTAGGAGTGAGAGAGGTAGACGGTTGGGTAAATGGATAAAAAGGTAGGTGGGAAGATAGATAGATAGATAGATAGATAGATAGATAGATAGATAGACAGACAGACAGACAGACAGACAGACAGATAATGATTGATAGATGATTGATAGATAAATAGATAGATATAGATAGATAGATAGATAGATAGATAGATAGATAGATAGACAGACAGATTGATAGATGATTGATAGATAAATAGATATAGGTAGATGATTGATAGATGATTGATAGATAAATATAGATAGATAGATGATTGATAGATGATTGATAGATAAATATAGATGATTGATAGATGATTGATAAATATAGATGATTGATAGATAGATATAGATGATTGATAGATAGATAGATAGATAGATAGATAGATAGATAGAGATAGATAGATAGATAGATAGATAGATAGATAGATAGATAGATAGATAGATAGATAGAGCCTTTATCCCCAAAGACAGAAAGGGAATGACTGAGTGGGGGCAGTTGAGAAAGATCAACACCTGGGTAGAATTAGCCTTAGAAATTGGTAGCTCAGACATCGATTGCATCTGAAAAGCCACCAAGTTAAGCCATTCCAGAAAAAGGTGACTTTCTTTTTGCCCTGCAATTCTTGATGTGCTGAACTCAATAAAAATATCACAGGGAGGGTACAAGAATGTAGAGCTAACCAGATTGACATTGCAAGACTGAGGCCTCTTTTCAGATTAAATTGCTGCTAAATTTAGCTCTCTTGAGCCCTCAGATGGTGTTTCCTATGACATGTGTAGGCGGGGAGGTGCTGAATCTGCCTTTTGGACATGGAGACATTCTGCCCAGGACATCAGCAGCGGCATTCCTGGATATATCGAGTCTCTGGAAAGGCATGGAATCTTTTCTAGTTTGGAGTTAGATCAAAGGCGTCAGCAAGGGTCTCAAGGTAGCCACCAGACCTGTGAAATAATGTACAACAAAGCCCTGAGCTTCCTTTCTGAGCACTGGGATCCCAAGACAGAATTTTGACTTTCCATTTCCATGTCTATGTGTTTTCCACTAAGAAATAATTGATGGTGTGCTTTTGCCAACAATTATGGGTTCAACGTTATATGAAAGTCTGAAAGAATTTGGGATATTCCATCAGAAGAAAAGAAGCTTGGCTAGGTAGATAAAATTATGTTACTCATCTTCTTCAAGGCTATGAAAACCAGGACCAGAAAGAACAAATACAGGTAGTCCTTGACTTACAACCACAATTGAGCCCAAAACGTATGTTGCTAAGTGAGAAATTTGCTAAGTGAGTTTTGGTCCATTTTACCATTTTTCTTGCCACATTTGTTAAGTGAATCACTACAGTTGTTAAGTTAGTAATACAGTTGTTACGTGAATCTGGCTTTCTCACTGACTTTGCTTGTCAGAAGGTCACAAAAGGAGATCACGTGACCCCTGCAACCATCACAAATATCAACCAGTTGTCAAGCATCTGAATTTTGATCATGTGACTATGGGGATGCTGTGATGGTTGTAAGTGTGAAAAATGGTCATCTTTTTCAGTGCCGTTGTAACTTCGAACAATCATTAAATGAACTGTTGTAAGTCAAAGACTTCCTGTATAAGTTACTTAGATATTGTAAGTTACATAAGGAAAAACTTTGCGATGATATCACACTAGGACAGTCTACAGCAGGGGTCTCCAACCTTGGCCACTTTATGACAATAAAAATATAAATAAAAGCATTTAAACAACCAGGGGAAGACTATGATAATTTCCCCGCTAAAGACTTACTGTGATGGAATGTAGTCTGGATTCCCAGGAGACAGGGAGTGCATTCCAGAAGAGCAAGAGATAACTCAGTTCAGATACTGATACTCAGTATCAGATACTCAGTTCCTATCACCCACCTCCTCCCACTTATTTATTAATTAATTTATTTATTTATTTTATTAAATTTTTATACCGCCCTTCTCCTGCTGGACTCAGGGCGGTGAACAGCCAAGAATAAAAAACATCCAATACAAAATTTAAAATTATTAAAAGAATTAAACAAACTTTGGCCCAGATTTAAAAACATCCCAACTTAAATCCGTTACAATTAAAATATCTAAGGGGTGGGGGTTACACTAGCCCAGCTTGGTGAAATAGAAAAGTTTTGAGGGCAGGTGATGCCACAGAGAAGGCCCTCGCCCTGGGGGTTGCCAGCCGATATTGCCTGGCTGACGGCACCCTGAGGAGTCCCTCTCTGTGGAAGCGTACTGGCCGGTGGGAGGCTATTGGTGGCAGAAGGTGGTCTTGTAACTACTCAGGCCCTGTGCCATGGAGCGCTTTAAAGGTGGTAACCAACACCTTGAAGCACACCCGGAAGACCACCGGGAGCCAATGCAGCTCGCGCAGGAGGGGTGTCACATGGGAGCAGCCCATCGCTCCCATAATCCCCCGCGCGGCCGCATTCTGCACCAGTTGGAGCCTCCGGGTGCTCCTCAAGGGGAGCCCCATGTAGAGAGCATTGCAGTAGTCCAGGCGGGAAGTGACAAGAGCCTGAGTGACTGTGCGTAAGGAGTCCCGATCCAGAAAAGGACGCAACTGGCGAATCAGGCGAACCTGATGAAAAGCCACCCTGGCCACGGCCGTCATATGCTCTTCTAAAGACAGCCGTGCATCCAGGAGGACGCCCAAGTTGCGAGCCCTCTCCGAGGGGGCCAGTAACTTATGACTGCATGACTGTAACTTGTTGCTGTATCCTTACGCTTATAGTGATTGTTTCCTAGTATGATTTGATTGCTTATTAGTACCTATGACTATCCTTAAGTGTTGTATCTTATGATTCTTAACGAATGTATCTTTTCTTTTTATGTACACTGAGAGCATATGCACCAAAGACAAATTCCTTGTGTGTGTCCAATCACACTTGGCCATAAAGAATTCTAATCTAATCTAATCTAATCTAATCTAATCTAAAGGGAAAGTTTAGGGTGGACTCTCTCTGGCAGGCTCAAAGAGGTTCAGAAAATGGCCAGCTCTTGGATTAGAACAGTGTTTCCCAACCTTGCCCAATTGACAATGTGTGGACTTCAACTCCTGGAATTCCCCTGCTCACAGCCAGCAGAGGTAGTTGGGGAATTCTGGGAGTTGAAGTCCATACATCTTCAAGGGGGCAAGGTTGAGAAAAAATTGCTTTAGAGGAAGAAATGGGTCCATTCTTAATCCCTGGTATCGCCATCCCATCCCATCTTCACCCTTGATCTCAAGAAACATTTATTGCATCTTCTTCCTTCAAGTACGGTGAAGACATTAAGACAGAAATGTACAGAGCAAGTGCACAATTCTCCACTCAGTTACATCACGGAGGGCTTTTATTTTAAGAATGGCTATATCCACAAAACCATGGCTGTGCTAGTCATGGATAAAAATCCCGGGGAAAAGGAAAAAGGGGTTGGGGCAGAGATTTGCTAAGGAAAAGGCACTTTTTAATGAGATGTATTTTTAACCAAACAGCCTACATCTTGGAGGAGGAAGTGTTCTCCAAGGCTCTTCTGCTTCTTCGCGTCAATCAATTCCTTCTCTTGCTGATGTCCAACAGGAGACTATTGTCCCCAAAGGGAGAAAAGGAAAGTCAGGACTTTCTATTTCTGGGTGGCTATTTCCACTCCTCACCACTCATAGGACTCTTCCTTATGGGTCCATTAAAATGCTGTGAGCCAACAGAAAGCTACTTTGGCATCTGTTCCCACTGCGATGCCCCATTGTCTTTCTTCCAGTCTGTAGCTGGAGAGTGGTGTCCTTCCTTGCTCCTGCCTTCCCCCCACCCAACTCCAACCTTCACAATTTAACCAACTTGTGGGAAAACAGTCTCCTACTCAGAGCATTGTTTGAGCTGATCTCAAACTAGAACTGCTATAGTAGTGGCCAAAATTGTGGAAACCTTTTGGGAAAAGTGTATTTTTGAGTTTTGATGGCTAATAACACCACTTTTTTGGGGGGGGGGAATTTCAAGTAATCATATTCCACTGCTGGAATAGCAATAGCAATAGCAATAGCAATAGCACTTAAACTTATATACCGCTTCATAGTGCTTTTACAGCCCTCTCTAAGTGGTTTACAGATTCAGCATATCGCCCCCAACAATCTGGGTCCTCATTTTACCGACCTCAGAAGGATGGAAAGCTGCGTCAACCTCGAGCCTGGTGAGATTCGATCTGCCAAACTGCTGGCAGCCGGTGATCAGCAAAAGTAGCCTGCAGTACTGCACTCTAACCACTGAGCCACCGCAGCACTGCAGCCCAGAACTTAACCCAATTGAAAATCTATGGAGCCGACTAAAGAAACTTATTAGTCAGAAGCGACCCAGTAATAAAACCCAGTTAATAGAAGCAATCATTCAATCTTGGTTTCACATTATAACAGCTGCAGAACTAAAAAACTTGGTTCATTCCATGGGAAGACGTTGTAAGGCCGTAATTCATGCTAAAGGTTGCCCAATTAAGTATTAACTGACATGATAATTTTTGTTTATCTCGTTTTTTCTATGGTGATAATTTTATATCTCATTTTTTCTACGTGTTTCACTTTTCTTCTTTACATTGTAACTGCTATTCTAATAGCAAATCCTTCATAAAAGTTATTGTATTACATTCTTGATTAAATTATCTTTCCATTGATATATAATTTTATGGTACTACTCCCCCAAAAAGTGGTGTTATTAGCTAGTTTTAGAAAATACACTTTTCCCAAAAGGTTTCCACAATTTTGGCCACCACTGTAGATCTGCAGGTTCAGACAATTGCCAGAATTTGTTCTCTTTTTACGGTATCTGTCACTTCTTCCAACTGGGAGATCAATTACCTAGATGGCAAGAAGCAGCAGAAGAAAGGAAAGAGGAGCCTCCTTATTCACTAGGTATTTCTGGGTTTGGAAACCTGGATCAGCTCAAATCGAAACATCAGCCATCAAATCTGGTACTTGTGGGATTGTCTTCCTCTACGACATTTCAGAGCATAGTAACTTACCTGCATCTATCAACTCTTTTCAGTCTGCTTTAGAATACAGGTTTAGTGCTCTTCTTAGAAGAGGAATAAACCCACATTCAAAAGCAGTTTGAAAAACAGCTGCCACACATAGTTTTATTTATTTATTTGTTAAATTTATATGCCGCCCGTCTCATGGACAGAGTTGAGCAGAGGATGAAGAGTGCAGCAGTGAAAGGGAGCCATTCCTCTCTCTCTCTCACTTCTACTTCACAGTGCAACCCTTTCAGCTGCTATTGCTGGTCAGGGATTGGCTCACAGGCTTTGTGCATACAATGGAAGAGCCACTTTGAAAGAAGCAAACCCGTCTACTATCCAGATTACAATCATCCTGGAGAGCTGTGCCTGGAGACTTGGCAGGGAGAGTAACACTGCACTACTTCAAACAGTCAACAGGTGCTTGGCTGACCTCAACCCATATACTGTAGGTCACCAGGAAGTACTCCTGACAGAATGGCTGGTGAACCGGGCCAGATTGCTCCCACCTTACAATAAAACTACTGCTTAAAGGAAGAAAACATCACTTTTACACTGGGCCACCTAAGGATGACTTTGTTGCAGTGATGAAATCCAAATTTTTTTACTACTGGTTCTGTGGGCGTGGCTTGGTGGGTGTGGCAGGGGAAGGATACTGCAAAATCTCCATTCCCATCCCACTCCAGGGGAAGGATACTGCAAAATCCCAATTCCCTCCCCACTCCTGGGGGAAGGATATTGCAAAATCTCCATTTCCACCCCACTCTGGGGCCAGCCAGAGGTGGTATTTGCCGGTTCTCCAAACTACTCAAAATTTCCGCTACCGGTTCTCCAGAACCTGCCAGAACCTGCTGGATTTCACCCCTGCTTTGTTGCCTCGAGGATGCGACGTGGAGAAGCTGAAGGCAACATCATGAGGACCAGAGGTGGGTTTCACAAAATTTTACCACTGGTTCGCCACGCACCGAAAATGGAGCAGCTTGCACATATGCGCGCAGCTTAGAAAACGTGGCTAAACAGGACGGCATAGCGCTGGGGCGGGTGGGCAGGCGCACCTGCAGGTCACCACTACCGGTCCGCCCGAACCAGTCTGAACCAGCTGAATACCACCACTGATGAGGCCACAGCAGAAAAAAGATCTTGCAGTAGCATGTTTTTGTCAGAGCTAAATGATAAGCAGGGGAAGTCCTATGACAGCCAGAGTCTCCTTCTATGCCCCAACCAGAGTTTAAAATTTTATAATCTCAGGAGCTGGCAACCACCTACTTTGGGGCAAGAAGGGAAGTTTGCCGATGCTCACCATGGCTCCATTATTTATACTCTAGCTTTGACTTCCTAGACAAAATCTGTAAATACCAGATTTAACAGAGTCGGAAGGGACCTTGCAGGTCATCGAGTCCAACCCACTGACCAAGCAGGAGACCCATCTGCCTCTACCTAGGATCGAACTCACAACCTCCTGATTGTGAGGCAAGAGCTCCACCTCTAAGCCATTGGGTCTTGGTTAAACCATAATTCATATGCAAGAATTATTTAGGCATCCTACAGGCTTACATAGCAGCTAGAAGCTAATTCTCCCCTCTGCCAATAGCCCCTCACTTTTAATCATCTCTTAATCGAAGGAGGAAAACAATCACAGAATCCAAATCAGTTCACTAGAAACAACCCAACTGTTTGCAGAAGAGACACAGCAGGAGAAAGCAAACTGCTTAAAATCCTTGGCAACAATAAATAATTATCCTGGGCGAAGGAGCATCAATCAATAAATAATGTACATGCATGTCTCACAGTGTTTGGCAAAGTGGCTAGGATTGAAACACTCAGTAGTTGCTTTGGTTTCCTTCCCTACAGCAAAACTCATCAAACTTTGGAGAGGTATATACAAATGGCAACATGCTAACACACATACACAAATATCAACAGCCCAAAGAGTAGCAGCAGCAGCAATGGTCTTCTCCTATGCTCAAGGCCTTTATACAAACGGCAACCAAGTAAGACATCCAAAGTATTGATGTAGAGAGTGAAATGCCAGTCACTCCATCTGGAACGCCTCTCTGCCCTTGAAAAGTTATCAATGGCCTTAGGATCCTGTAATGATGGCTGGAGTTGAAGATCCCTGGGTTGTTTTGCAGGGTAAGAATCTCTCTCTCTCTCTCTGCCATATGGAGGAGACACCAAAACACATTCCAGCTTTTCCACTGGTGAGGCTTAGGAAGGGGAGGAGACCAAGAGGACAGGAAAGGCTGAGCTAGAATCTGTAACGAAAGGTCCGTTCGGACATTAGTTCTGCGTCTCACAGGTGACAGGCCAGGAAAACCATGGCAGGGGCCAGAAGAAGAGGACTGGTCTTCCTGGGAGCGTCCTCCAACCATGTCTTTGGAAGGCCACAAGTCACACAAGGTATGCAGCAAAGTTGCGGTGGTTCAGATGGATCCGTCAGCCTTCATGATGCTCATTCTACTTTCTTGGCTTTCCGTTTCCGGGTTCCTTCGTTGAGCTCCTCCCTTGATTTGGCTGGCATCGGAGGTGGTGACGGAAGGGATGGCTCCTGCGAGCTTCCATGATGGTAGTGGTGGTGGTGATGATGATGGTTATCATGACTGGTAAATGCAGAGCCAAAGAGGATGGGACACACCACATTTTCCAGAGGGGCAATTGGGGAGCCATGGGAGTGAGTTGCTGTCAAGAACACCTGCAGGACAAGGAAAAAGCTCCATTAGTGGTCACCTACTGTGCCAGATTTTCCATCGCTCAGGTAGCAACAATAAATCAAAGTGATTCCAACCTGTGTTTCTTCCCATTCCTCTTACCCCTCCTTACACCAAGGTTGGTACATGAATCTGCTGTACTTGATTGGCCAATCAAGGCCTTTACAATGAAGTGCTGGTGCTAGTCATCACAATTCCAACCTTAAGCTACCAGGGCACATAGGTATTATGTTGAAAGGCTACTGGAAAGGACTCCGTTGTTAAGCAACCCAACAGTATTTCTTACGATACACCACCCAGGCTTCCTTTGATATCTCTGGAAATTCAAAACTCATTCTAATTCACATGGGAGTCCATTGGTAGGGAAAGTGTAACGTCATGCATGTCGTGACCTCATTGCGCAAATGATGTCAGTGATGTGACCTATACATATATCATTGGTGTCAATGAAGTGACTGATGCTAATATCATAATTTGAATTCACGAATATGTTGGATGTCACTGTGGCTTCTACCAGATGCTTCTGTTAATCCATAGTGAGATTTATTAGCTTTGACTTAGTGAATTGTAGGAAATATCTAAACCATGAATAGACTAGACTAGACTAGACTAGACTAGACTAGACTAGACTAGACTAGACTAGAACAGAACAGAAAAGTTGGAAGGGACCTTGGAGGTCTTCTAATCCAGCCCCCTGCTCAAGCAGGAGAACCTATACCATTTCAGATAAGTGACTGTCCAGTCTTTTCTTTCTCCAGTGATGGAGCGCCCATGATTTCTGAAGGCAAGCTGTTCAGTTGGTTAACTGTCCTCATTGTTAGGAAGTTTCTCCTTAATTCCAGGTTGCTTCTCTCTTTGATTAGTTTCCAACCATTGTTTCTTGTCCTGCCCTCTGGTGCTTTGGAGAATAATTTGACACCCCCCCTCTTTTTTGTGGCAGCCCCTGAAATGCTGGAATACTGCTCTCATGTCACTCCTAATTCTTTTTTCCTTTAAACTAGCCATCACACTAGAATAGCTTAGTGTGATGCATAAATCAAGGACTGTAGTTTAGTCAACTAACCATGGTTTAGTTTAGTACAATGAATGAGTCCAGGGATTGAAGCCTTCCTTGCATTTCTGAAGAACTTCTAGTGAACAGAAATGGATCTGGCTCCTTCCCCCATTCGATCCACCCAACTGCTCACATGTGTCCCAGGCAGAGGAATTTACCTTGCAGATGATCATAAAAATAGTGAAGAAGAAGATGAGGGTGGCTTTGGAGATGGGAAGCCACTGGGTTTGCTGAAGGGTGAAGAGCAGTGCTCCATACAGACTGGCTTTGGATGGACTGCAAGAGAAGAAAGCCTTCGTAAGAAGCACAGCTGGGATTCCATCTCAAATAAAGAAATCCAAAATTTAAAGAAAGGACATGCTTTTTGGACAGACTGCTGCAATGGTCATAAGTATGAAAAATGGTCATGTTACTTCTTTCAGTGCTTTGCAATTTTGAACGATGACTAAAGGAAAGGCTGTAAATTAGGGACTACCTGTATTCTTGAAAACCTCCAGTGATGAAGCACCCACAACCTCAGACGGTGAAAACCGTATGAATTCTGAGAATGTCCTATCAGATTTCTACTGATTTTTCTCATTTCCATTAATCATAAGATTCCTTCCAGCTCAGTTAGGACACGATTGATCTCTACCCAGAAGACACGCCAGTACAAAACCTTTGGCTTCTCTACTCACAAGGTCATATGAAGGAATTCATTTGTTTCTGGCTTCCAGACACCACGCAGCAATTGTTCAAAGTTAGACATCAAGGCAACTCCAGAACCTACAAACAGAAAGACAGTAACAGATTTGTAAACAGATCAGCGATGAGAATGTGGGCGAGTGGAATTCCATTTTTTCCTAAACTCACTGATAATTCCTGTCAAAGTTGGTAATCTGACACAGGAGACAAAATACAGAGCATCTTTGTGGTGATGCTCTCAGCCACAACAGCTCCTTTAAGGAAATGGCAATTTTACTGATTATTATGACTAATAAAAGCGATGCCCGTTTCTAAGTTTACTATTTAAAAATTGAAAATATGATAGTGATGCCACAGCCCCCGCCTTAAGTTTATAGAAGTTTGATTATTCTATTTTCTGGTTCCTTTGAATTAGACAAAGAAAAGCTGTACAGAAAAATGTAACGACAAACATTTGAAATTTGTACTGTTTTGCATCCAAACAGTCTTGACCTCACAGGATTTTAGTGTGATACAGGCTGCTTCAATCATTTTGGAAACACGGCAGGTTAAAAGCACCTCTGTTTCCAGTTCACAACCAGAATAATCAAAACAATTGTACCCCCAAATAATGGCTTTGACCTCAGAACAGGGCAACTCAAATTATTTGAATTTGAAACGGCGTGCACACATCTTCATGTAAAAATAAGAAATACACAAGCTTTGTTCAGTGTCTTAAAACTTTGCGACCTGATAACAGAGCACTTCTTTTTCATTTGAAAGATCTCAGGCTTGATCTTGATATTTCTAGCTAAAATAAGATGCTAGAGAGGGGCTACCAGTCACAAGAGAAAGTATTGAAGGACAAAGAATCCAGTCATATATAAAGCAATTCTCTATAACTAAAATGCCCTTGTGGTAGAAGCATTCCAGACTAGTAGGGAAGAGTTACTTGGTGGAATATCTAGCCCGACAGATGAAATTATTTATTGGCAGAAAAGGAATGTAATTTCTACCTTCTTGGTTCAATTTCTATATCAGGAGGGAAATGTCTATGAGTGGTAACAGATGCTTCAGTCCTGAACCTCTGTGTGATCTCTATCATTTCTGTATCTAGCAGCCCAGTGGTGGGTTTCAAAATTTTTTACTACTGGTTCTGTGGGTGTGGCTTGGTGGGCGTGGCATGGCGGTGGGCGTTGCTTGGTACGCGTGGCAGGGGAAGGATACTGTAAAATCTCAATTCCCTCCCTACTCCAGGGGAAGGATACTGCAAAATCCCCATTTCCTCCCAATCAGCTGGGACTCGGGAGGCAGAGAATAGATGGGGGTGGGGCCAGTCAGAGGTATTTACCGGTTCTCCAAACTACTCAAAAGTTCCACTACCGGTTCTCCAGAACTGGTCAGAACCTGCTGAAGCCCATCTCTGTAGCAGCCTGAGGAGAGTTCCACTGGAAAAAGTCCCATTGCTTATTTAGAATAGAATAGGATAATAATAGAATTGGAAAGGAGCTTGGAGGTCTTCAAGTCCAACCAGGGGAGAAATGCTACCAGTTCGCTCCGGTTCGGGCGAACTGGTAATGATAAAAACTACTGGTTCGGGTGAACCGGTAGTAAAAAAAAAAAAGCTACTGATTCGGGCAAACTGGTAGTTAGGCAGTTTAAAAAGCTACCGGTTCGGGCAAATCAGTAGTTAAAAAAAGATACCGGTTCCTCCAAACTGGTATTTCCAATTATCAGCTGTGCAGCGGGGTTTAGCTTTGCTAGAGAGAAGGAAATCCTGCTTTCTAGCAAAGCCAAATCGCGTGCCACAGCTGATCCCCCCCCTCGCTTCTACTTACCTTCCCAAGTGTCCTTTTGGCATGAACTGCGCATGCATGCGTGTGTGCTGAGCGCGTATTTGGTACGTGCTGTGCATGCACAGACAGCATGCATTTGGCACGCAGCGCACATGCGCAGCCAGTGAACTGGTAGCAAACCGGTTCGGATTTCATCACTGAGTCCAACCCCCTGCTCAAGCAGAAGGCCCTACACCACGGGTGTCAAACTTGCCATGTCATGTTGCCATCATGTGATGTATTGCGACGTTTTTTCTCTTCACAGAGCTGGGTTGGGCGTGGCTTGCATATGACACATCTGGCCCACAGGCTGCCAGTGTGACACCATCCTGGACAAATGGTTGTCCAATATTTTCTTGAAAAGCTCCAGTGATGGAGCACCACAACTTCTGAAGGCAAGCCATTCCATTGATTAATTGTTCTCACTGTCAATTCTCACTGATTAATGATGTAAGATGGGCAGGGTTATACCAAATATGTGGAGGGGGGCAAGATACTGTTTTATTTCCTTTGATCTTTTTGAAAGGAGGATTTATAGAATTGTATCTTAGCTTTTTTGTGTGTTACTCTACCTTAAATGAAAAGAAAGCCTCTTATCGTGTTTGACAACTGTATTTGCCAAAAATAAAGGAAAGAATTCAGAGATCCCATTGGTGTCCCAGTTTTAAGCATCTCATCAAGTTTCAGGGTAATCTAAGAAGAATGGAATGAAACATGTGATTCAGCTGGAATTGCATTCCAACATCCTACCGTTTCTACTTGGGGGTTTAGAGCAGGAATCTGGTCACTAAGATAGTTTCAGGACCACCATCTTCAACCAGAATCGACCCATAGATCCAACAGAAAAACTGGTTTGTAGTTCCCCACCACCATCACAATGAAGAGTGGGATCAAGGTTAGGAGGAGAAGTTTCTCAGTCGTGGTCCTTATTTGTAGAATAGATTTTCATAAGGGCTTCACTTTGGCCATCCATGCTGGGAATTTGTGTCAATCCAGATGTTCATGGCCTGTAACGCTTAATATCCCTTAGTATCCATGCTGTCTGGAATAGCTAGAAGTAATAATTCAGCAACATCTGGAGAGTGATAGGTTCTCCATCCTTGTTTTATGCAAGAAGACATTTTCTCTGAGAAGTAAAGAATATAACCACATGTCTTTCTTCCACAGAAGAAGAGAAATCTCAGCCTAATCTGCATGTCAGCAGTTCTGACACTTGCCACTCCACCACCTTTTCTGAATACCACGTGGGATCACAGTGCTGAAATGACAGAGCTCACCTTTGACAAATCCAATGATGACCATAATGAACCAACCATGGTGGTAATGGTGGTGGGCATGATGGACACCAGCAGCGATCTTGCGAACTCGGACTACCTCTTTCATCGCCACAAAAATCAGTTTGACAGGCAGAAAGCTGACACACTTGTAAAAAAAGTTCAACGGGCAATAGAAGATTAGGTACCTGGAAAGCAATGCAGAATTAAAAGTGATACTGGTCATTGGGTTTTAAGAGATCTGACATCAACAAGATTTTTAAAAAAGTAAGTGAGAAGAGAAGAAATAAGTTTCAGCCTTTCATGGTGGACACTCAATGGCAGGAAAAAACCAAATTGCTATTGTTCAGGTAGTTTCATTCCATATCTTCTTGTTTGTACAGGTAATTTTTTCCCAACTGATTTACCAATTAAACTTTGTTTCTTTTATTATCTAGCAAATATTTTGGTAATGAATACTTAATCATTGCTACCTGGATAATATATGTTCAATTTATATTGACCTATTTAGATTCTTCACTCTACAAGGAGTGGGTATGTATGTATGGAATAGAGAAAATAACAACTTGCAAATAGCATCTTGAAATCATCCTGTAAGTGACACATACATTTGAATTGGTTGTCATTAGACACTATATAATTGTATCGTTGTGTGCTGAGATCAGGATCCACATGTCATCATTTTAAAACACCATGGCTTGTAAAAGACTTCTACACTCCATCTTCAATCATATGTCTACCTGTCCATCTCTCCATCCATAAAACGTTTAGCATCATCCATCTATCCCTAGATGATTAGCAAAGACGACAGGTGGATAATGGATGGATGGATGGATGGATGGATGGATGGATGGATGGATGGATAGATAGATAGATAGATAGATGATAGATAGATAGATAGATGATAGATAGATGATTGATAGCTAGATAGCTAGATAGATGATAGATAGATATAGAGCTGATAATCCAGGACATGACTACTTATTCCATAACAACCATATTAGATTTTTAGCACACGATTCTCAATTATCTCTTCTTATGTTAGTTTGGGAAGTCTGGAAGGAGAAGTCTTAGTACAGTATATCTCTCCGTCATACGCACAACTTGGCAGTGACAGCAGTTCCTTCCTTTACCCAACAATAGCAATGTGAAACTAACAATTTAACAACTTCAGCAACTGGTATATGTTAAGCACATGTATTAAACCTGGAGTCATCTTTATATTCATTCTGTTTTTTTAAAAAAAAATCTCTTTTGGAAGTCAAAAGGAACTCCAATGGAGAAGTGGCGTGCAAGGGGGCTGATGGCGCAGTGGTTAGAATGCATATTGCAGGCTAACCCTGCCTACAGCCAAGGGTTCGATCCCGATGAACTCAGCTTTCCATCCTTCCAAGGTCAGTAAAATGAGAATCCAGATAGTTGAGGACAATATAACATTATGTTACCGTATATGACATTGTATAAAACCGCAGAGAATGCTGTAAAGCACTATGGGGCAGTATATAAGTACTGTTGCTATTCCTAAATCCTGGCTCTGCATTGGGGCCTAGCCTTAGGTCACAGAAGATGGCCTTACCAGACAGCTGTGGCCAGAAGTATGCTGGAGTTGTTGCTGAAGTAATCAATAGGGGATTCTCCGAGCAGGAGATCAGCAAGGATATAGCTACCAAAGCAATACAGCATAGCACAGACCCAAGAGGCCAAGGGACTGTTCCGGGACAGTTCCACCGCACCTGCAGAGAATAGAATTAGAATTAGAATTTTTTATTGGCCAAGTGTGATTGGACACACAAGGAATTTGTCTTGGTGCATATGCTCTTGGAGTACATAAAAGAAAAGATACGTTCATCAAGAATCATAAGATACAACACTTAATGATAGCCATAGGGTAAATAATAAGCAATCAGGAAACAATATCAATATAAATTGTAAGGATATAAGCAACGAAATTACAGTCATACAGTCATAAGTGGAAGGAGATGGGTGGTGGGAACGATGAGAAGATTAATAGTAGTGCAGACTTAGTAACTAGTTTGACAGTGTTGAGGGAATTATTTGTTTAACAGAGTGATGGCGTTCGGGAAAAAACTGTCCTTGTGTCTAGTTGTTCTGGTGTGCAGTGCTCTATAGCATCGTTTTGAGGGTAGGAGTTGAAACAGTTTATGTCCAGGATGCGAGGAGTCTGTAAATATTTTCACAGCCCACTTTTTGACTCGTGTAGTATACAGGTCCTCAATGGAAGGCAGGTTGGTAGCAATTGTTTTTTCTGCAGTTCTAATTATCCTCTGAAGCTGTGTCTGTCTTGTTGGGTTGCAGAGTCAAACCAGACAGTTATAGAGGTGCAATAGAGATAGAAGAAGGACAAAACTGTGGGTTCAAATCCAGATGTCCTCGGTTGAAAAACCTTGAAACAACTTACTTCAGTTCCTCACTTCTGGCTGCTTACTTCTGTTGTGAAGCCTGGCAGCTACTTCTTAGGAAAGATTTAATCACCTTTCTCTCCAGTAGGAGAGTCCCTACTTAATCGCACAAAGAATAGGGAGATCTCTTCTCAGCCATACTAGGTAGACCTGGAAGTCACCCCTTCTAGGAGGGCTAAACCATTTTTTAATTGAGATTGGCTATAAAAACAGAATTTTGTATATCTGATACTGCTGTACCTCCTCCCCTTTCTTTTAGTGAACCGGGCAGGAATCTGCTTGAGCCATTTTTGAATGTTATCTCGTTGCTCTGGATGAGCTTAAAAAATGTTTGATCTCTCTTTTGCCTAGGTCATGATTCTTGCATTTTTCCATTAAGGTCGCCTTCCTGAGTCTCTATATTCCTCCAGCCCCTTCTCTTTCTAGAGAGAAAACTGTTATTTAAAATCCAAACCCTTGGGAAGCTAAGGACTGAGCATGGAATTGGAACCTCTGAAAAATGGTTGCAGAAATCAGGAAAATCCAGGGAGGTAAATAGGATCCTTTCGTCTGGAGTTTGGTGTGTTATTAAAGCAATGTTTCTCATTCTCAGCAGCTTTCAGATGTTACAATTTCAACTGTCAGATGCTGGCTAGGGAATTCTGGGCATGGAAGTCTTCACGTCTTAAAGATTCTGAGGTTGAGAAACACTGCTCTAAAGAATAGGTTGATGTTTTTAGCTTTAAAAAAATATGGTTTTGTGCTGTAACTTGGAAATGTGTGCTTGAGTTTTATTTGTTTATTTGTTTATTTATTTGTAAAATTTATTAGCCACCTATCTTGCCACACGGTATTTATTGATTCCAGTGGTGGGCTGCTGCCGGTTCGGGCGAACCAGTAGTTCTGACCAGCGTCTGGGCCCGCCCACCCACCCTGGCGGTATCACATCCTATATAATCACTGGTTTTTCGATGCCAAGCGCATGCACACGCTCACATTTTCAGTTCCAGGTGAACTGATCGTTACAGTGTGTGACGCCCACCTCTGATTGATTCAAATACCTTGATTGTGAGGTGAGTTGGGCTGAGAGAGAACAACTGGCCCAAAGTCATCCAGACAGTTTTTGATGCCTAAGGCGGAACTAGAACTCACAGTCTCCTGGTCCTTAGGCCAGCACATTAATCACTACACCAATCTGAATTTTGTCAGATCAGATCAGATAGCAGACTCAGTTAAAAAAAAAGAAAGAAAGAAGAGGTTGCCAAACCATGTTTGTGCCATGGTTAGGTATCTGTGGGCAATGCTCTTGAGCAAGCTATTCTAACATTGGCACTGTTGTTGCTTTCTGTCATCATCACAGACTGTTCTGCCCCAGCTACGGACCCCAAAGAACGCAGCACACACAAAGTCTGTACAAACTTTAGTTTACTAAAATAAAATCAGTTTTTTTTCCAAACAAAGGCTGTTAATTAACTTTCTTAACAGCCTGCAAGAATCCAAAGAATAAATAATCTTAATCTTACTATGGTTGGCAGAAAGCCCAGAAGCAATTTGCAGATCAAGGCATGAAGGAGAGTGAACGGTTGTTCCCTGCAAAGTGCTTCAGACAGTGTTCCTCCTTAAATAGGCTAAGGGAGTGGCCAATTAGCCCCAAACCTTACTCTCAAAGAGACCTCCTCCTGAGGAGCCACTCCTGCCTTTTGGCAGCTCTGCACGCCTGTGCATTGAGAAGAGGCTCCTCCTCTTCGTCCTCTTCACTTAAAGGAGCTTCTGGAGGTTCTGAAGGCCCTGGCTGAATCCCTGCCTCTGGCACCACATCTTCTCCAGCCTCCTCATTGTCTAACTCGAGTGCCAGCTGCACAGGCTGCTGGCGCAGCAGCATACCAGCCTCCTCGCTGTCCAAATCAGCCACCAGCTGCACAGGCCGCGTATGGGCCACAACACAGGCCTTTGTTCTCAAGCAAAAGTGTCATAAATATGAAGCTTGTATGCTGATTTGTTTAAAATATAGTATTTAACCTCATGGCACAACCCAAGGATGGGTGACCTATACATCCCAGAGTGAGATCTCCCAATGATCCATTTATTGTGCATTTGATGGAATTGTAAAATCTTCTTCCGGCTTGGCTCCTGGGATTACATGGATAGGTTTGACAACAATATTGGAAACAACGCTCCATAATAAACATGTTGAATGTCAAAGTATCATCCAGCCCTTCATTGTCTCTGTAACTCCTGTCAGCTTTGGCAGGTTGAAATGAATGAACCAGCCAATGCATAGCACAGGTAGTCCTTGACTTACGACCACAATTAAGCCCAAAATTTATGTGGCTAAGTGAGACATTTGTTAAGTGAGTTTCACCCCCATTTTACAACTTTTCTTGCCACGTTTGTTAAAGAAATCGCTGCAGTTGTTAAATTAGCAACATAGTTGTTAAGTGAAGCTGGCTTCCCCATTGACTTTGCTTGTCAGAAGGTCGCAAAAGGAGATTCACATGACCCCGGGACACTGCAATCGTCATAAATATGAGCCAGTTGCCAAGCGTTCAAATCTTGATGATGTGATCAAGGGGATGCTGCAACGGCCATAAGTGTGAAACATGGTCATAAGTCACTTTTTTCAGTGCCGTTGTAACTTGGAACAGTCACTAAATGAACTGTTGTAAATCGAGAACTACCTGTACTCCAGAGCAGCTGTTCTCACCTCAGCAGCCATTAGAAAGGAATTGGGTTTTGGATCCCCCACCCCATCCAATGAAACTGATATGTTTGCTGTGGTCTAAAAATAAAGTGAAAGTAGGAAGGACTGTTCTCCTCAAGACACCCTACAGATCTTTAATCCATAAAAAGAACTATCAGGAATTATTTTTTCCCTTATAGAAATTATGAGAAGGATGCGAGTGTCCTGATGAATCACCACTTAAAATCTGAGTCAGCATTGTGCTGCAGCTGCCAAAAAAGCCAATGCAGTCCTTGGCTGCATCAACAGATCAAGGGAAATGAATGAGGGTGCTTATTGCAAGGAGGTAGAAGATTTGGGGAACTAGCGTAATCATTATCATCATTCATTATTTATTAAATTTTTATACCGCCCCTTTCCCGAAGGACTCGGGGCGGTGAACAGCCAGGATTAAAAAACATACAATATAAACATTAAAATACTTTAAAACATAATTAAATCTATATTGGCTTCCCCCAATTTAAAACCCCTTACCCATAAAATTAACCAATTAAAAATTTTAAGCCAGCCCGGTTTGCTGAAATAAAAAAGTCATCAGAGCCTGGCGAAAGGTCCAGAGGTCCGGGATCAGTCGTATCCCTGGGGTAGCTCATTCCAGAGGGCGGGTGCCCCCACAGAGAAGGCTCTTCCCCTGGGGGTCGCCAGCCGACATTGCCTGACCAACGGCACCCTGAGGAGACCCTCTCTGTGGGAGCGTATTGGCCGGTGGGAGGTTATCGGTGGCAGAAAATGGTCTCGTAAATAACTGGGCCCTAAGCCATGGTAATAAAAGCAGCCTTGTTTTAAATGTTGGAAAAACTAAAGAGATCATTGTCGATTTCAGAAAAGGCAGGCACAGCCACACTCCTCTGTGTATAAATCAGTGATGGCTAACTTTTTTGCCGTCACGTGACAAAAGCGGGGGGAGTGCGGGGGGGTCACGCGTGCATGTGCCCACACTCATAATTCAATGCGCACCCCCACCCCCACACATGCGCACACGACCTCCCGCTCTTTTCCCGCTTTTGGCACGTGATGGCACAGTAGGCCTGTTTTTCGTCCTCCCCAGGCTCCAGGAGCTTTCTTGGAGCCTGGGAAGGGCGAAAATGGCCTTCCCCACCTCCCTGGAGGCCCTCCGGAGGCCGGAAATGGAGGGCCTCCAAGGGGTTGGGGAAGGCCATTTTTCCTAGAAAGCCTCTGGAGCCTGGGGAGAGCGAAAAACAGGCCTTCCGGTCCCACCAGAAGTCAGCAGACTGTTTCCTGACTTCCGATGGGCCCAGAAGGCCCGAAAATCAGCTGGCCAACGCACGCATGCACACCAGAGCTGAGCTAGGGCAATGCTCGTGTGCCCACCACTATAGCTCCATGTGCCACAGGTTCGCCATCACGGGTATAAATGATTCACCTGTGAGGATGGTTAGCAGCATCAAATTTCTGGCTGTGCAGCTAACAAGCAGAATGGCTTGGTCACTCAACACAAGACACTGGTGAAGCGGGCATAGCAGTGCCTGCATTTTCTGCCTCACATAAAAATAGTATATCTTCCTCCCCCTGTCCTTACCACTGTTGTGGTCCGCCGGCAGCCTTCGGAGCTGGCAGCAGAGTCGGACAGCGA